CCCCCCCCCCCCCCAAAAAAAAAAAAAAAGAAAGAAAAACAACTCCAACTCTGTCAGGGCAGCTGCGCATTCTTCGCTGCCAACTCGCTTGGCTGGCCTGCCATCGGAGCTCCTGCCGACTGTCAGGAGCCACCATTGGACTTATTTGGCGCCAAGGGTGCCTGGCAGGCCTTCTTGGTTGGCCGTAGGCGCTGCAATTCGGCCCCATGCGGATTGAGGGAAACCTGCCCCCAATTCCAACAGCTGAAACGCTCTTCGAGAAAACTTAGAGCAGCTGCAAACCATGCTTCGGGACCCCCGGTTTTGATGTGCTACAAAAAAGAAAAGGAAGCCACCCATTGCAGTCCTCAATTTTGAGAAGATGTTTCATCGAGGTTTCATCGCTCAGCCTGTCCACCCATAGTGCTCTTGAGAAACTACGCTTTCTGAAAAAACCGGTTCGCTGAACGTACAGCTGCGGTTTTCCTGCGTGTCTCAAAAGACGAGACACCCCCCCCCCCCCCCCCCCCCCCCCACAGAAAGCGTGGTTTTCCCTCGGTCCCCAAAAAGCGTACCAACTGAAAAGATTCCTTTTGTGCGTATGAATGTTATATTTGGGGACCTTTGGGGGCATTTGGATGAAGATTTACGCCCAGCGTAAGGATCCCAGCCGCTTAGAACCCCAATGCTTCTAGGGAAAACAGTGTGTAAAAGCTAAAGAAAAAATGCGTGGCGGCAACTCGAGCCACAAACCGGATTTAGAGAGGTAATCCCCAATCCAAATCCGCAACCCCCCGTGGGACACCACTCCCGCAAAGAGATCTTTTCCCCTCTAACACAAGGATCTTGCGGATGGATCTTCAACAACCCAGCCACACACACGAACACACACACACACACACACACACCCTCCCCCCCCCCAACGCGCCTGCGCTTCTCTCTTCCAGGCATCGCTTCTCTTCGAGCAGCTGTTGGTTCTGCTGCCGCAGCTGCCGGATCTCCTGCAAGGCGCCCTCCAGCGTGGGGTTCCCGTCCTCGCGGACGCCGAAGATGGGCGGGGTCCCCGGGGCCCCCGGGTTTCCTAAGCAACCCTTTCAATTTGAGTACCTAAGCAACCCCGTCCTAAGCAACCCCTAAGCTAAGCCTCCTAATATCGTAGACCACCCTTTCCCTTTGAAGCCAACCTGAGAAGGCTGCGAAATCAACAAGCACTGCCACGAGAAAAGACACGCAAACCACGTGACTGTGAGGTCATCATTACCTACTACGGAAACTAGCCAAACAAGTACATGCACATGCCGTCAAAAAAAAAGGAGAAAAAGAAGGAAACAAAACGTCAGGTTTCAGCCGAACCCTTGGTTGACAATGCAAATGCTGTCCCTTTCTGGTTACCCTACTCCTCTTAACGACGCCGTGCAGAATTGGCCCGCAGTGGAAACACACGAAAAGGGTCACAGAAAATGCTGCCCTGTTTCCAATGAAAGGGGGGCTTTTTTCGAGAGGACTCTAGTCTTCCAAACCCCTCCTATCCACTTCCATGATTGTTAGACCCTATCAGGATCAACCATAGGAAGCCTGGGTCGGTCAAAGTGAACATCCTCAATTTGTCCGTTCAAAGGGGCTCCAAAAATGCCAAGCCATGCCGCACCTGCGGATTGGAGGGCAGGGACTTGAGGAGACCTCAGAGCTGCCACGGAGCGGCAGTCCATGCGTCAAAGTAGAGCTTTGGATCTGCAAGTTTGCCCCAAGCCCCGGGGAGCACCAAACGTATTTCAGATTATGTGTCATATATGGTCACCCAAGTGTGAGTTGATTCTGAAGGATACCCCAACAAAGATGGTGGAATCATGCTGCGAAGATGATGCCGCACTTTCAGCCAAAGAAAGGCACCCTCCAAAAAAGGCACGACCAATATAGGCTTGTCTCTAAATAGGAGAACGCTGTGGAACGCTGAACAAGGCAGGGATTGCCCTTGGATTTC